AGTTCCAGAAGCAGCATATAGACTGATGCCTGACGGAGCCCAGAAGAAGGATTTGTCGCCTCCATCATGGCAAAATCTAAAGTGGAACACGTCTCATGACTAACAGAAAGTAATAATGCTAGCTGCCTGGTGTTGTGGCTTTGAGGTTGAAGTCTCTCTGTGGTAACTGTGGTTCTGCCAGAGCAAATCCCCCCTACTTGGGGTCTGTGGAGAGCAGCGGAGCTCTTCTCCCCACAGCGTAGCTGTGGAGCCCTGCTGGCATTCGTGCCCCGCAGAGGCGGCCTGCAGCACGTGTGGCTGTCCCAGTGGTGGCCCCAGCATGTTACGTAATGGACTTAAGCACTTTGGGATCGTCGGGGATGGATCATGCTGTAAACTGTGTCATTAATGCTACTTGATGTATTACAGACTCCTCCTGCGACCCGAGGCTGCTGCAGGCAGTGTGCCGGCAGGAAAGCTCTCCAGATTGCGCTCATGCAAATCGCTCCCTGCCATCACATCCGTTCTGGTTCCCGCTACAACGTTACTTTCACACTATGGTGTGCTGCTCGCTCAGTCTAAACTTTTTGTTATTGCAGGTTGTATGACTACAACGTAGCATCTCTTTGCCAGCACCTTTACAAGGGTTAGCAGACATACCAATATGGAAACAGAGGCACAAGGCCTGAACTTACCCAGGAAAAGGGCAGCGCCATCCTCACCTGTGCCTCCTGACGCTGGTGTCCCCAGATCAGGGCAGCTGTCAGGGCGTTTAGTTCAGCTTATCTTTTTGTTCTGAAACATCATTTTCTTCTGAACTGGAGATCCGCATAATTTAAAGAAGAGAAGGAATTTCTGTAAGCTGGGAAAAGCAAAAGTGAAATCTGACCTATTTTGAGCACATCCTGTTTTTACTGTGGACGGCTAAGTCTTGTCAACTGGCTTTAATTATGCAAAAAGCATTTCAAAATGATTTAGCATTAAACGATACAATCAATACCATCACAAAAAAACAATATAATAGGAAATGGAGGATCAGCAGCCGTATCCAAGAAATGGTTTTCAAACATTGCAAATGAAACGGAGAGTCAAGGCAATGGTAAGGAGACTGCTGCCAGTGACATAACCTGTGAGAAGATCCTCAGAACAACCTGACTATTTGGGAATATAGGGAAAAAGCAGACAGTGCTCTAAAAATGACAAAAGCAGGAAACCACAGCAAAAGCTAACCATGAATTAATCCAACAAAATTCAAAGCCAAGAAATTGTGAGCAGTGAGTCATCAGTAAAAGGGCACTTGCATGTAACATACGGGTTCAGTTCACAGGTACCCAGTCTGTTTTTAAAATTAAAATTTATAATATGTCAAAAATATTCAGTGTTCAGATGAAAGTGGAAAAAAAAAGAAGCTTTCAGGATCTCAAGTCTGTATTTTGAATGTTTGGCTAATACATCAACACAGGCTGGCTTGCCAAAAATACTAAAATACAACTAAAGAGAACATAAATTAGTAAATTGTCAAGTATTCTTAATATGCATTCCCAATGACAGACATTTATAATAGTAAAAGCAGGTTACTTAAACAATAAGTGCCAGTAGGTACTCAGGGAGCTCAGGACAGTTTTACTTTAACAGACAGAATAAACTAGGTTTGCTTCAGCAAACCCATCCTGAAAGAAGTAACAAAGATTTAACACGGACACATGAGAAGTTTCTGTATTTTAGGATTTCAGTGTTCATTTCAAGAACTATTATACCATGCAGTACAAAACGTTTATTAAATCAATGCATTCATTTATTTGAAATAAAAGTTTTATTCAATCACTCTATTTTGATAGACTAGACTACTGCACATAGACAGGAGATAATGGATTGAACAGGATGTCCTTGAAGGAGAAGAGCTGCTTCAGATCACCTCACTAGCACTCGGGAGAGACATCCTGCTTCCAATGCCCATCAGACTTCTGAAGGCTGAGAGGAAAGATGCATCCGTGCTATCTGGTGTAACAAATTAGCTCCTGAATCACCTAACTATAAAACTCACAGGGAAAAAAATTAGATAGTCTCTGCTTAAAATATCTCAATGTCATTTTAAAATCTATTTAGGAAGATCAGCTCTGGTGCCTTTATAGCAGCTTAGCCATGTGCATTGTAAAGGCTCACTGGTACTGTAGCCATCACTGGGTTTTGAAATGAGTAAAACACAAAGTTATTAAATCAGTTTTGGTCTTGCAGTCCCATTTGGTCAGTTCACTTTAACATGCTTTCAAGCAATTAAAGAAACTGATATACAGAGATTTTTAAAGGAGGCGAGAAACAAAATTTCACTGACACAGAAAATGATAATGAGCCATAGATTTCTTCTGAAGAAAAAAAAAAAAAAAAAGGAAGATGTGTAAGCCATATTCTAACACTTGTTACAGCAGAGAAAAAAAATTAAAACCTCGGGTTACATTTTTAGTATTTTTAAAGACATTTCCCCACCTATTACTTAGCCCTTCTGTGTTCTGAGTGCTGGACCCTAGATCAGTTAACTTTTTGTGTCCTAATATGCATACAAAAAAATTTCCTGCAGGCTTAGTATAAATCAGAGAAACAGAAGAATTTGTATATGTATATAAAGTCCTCAGAACCAGTCAGAGTCTCTAAGCACAGTATGTCAATTTATAGTCTCAAGATTAAAACCTGCTGGGGTAAACACTCAGCAAAGCTAGTAATGAAAAAAAAAAAACAAACCAACCCAACCCAACAAACCCTAAATCTATACATTTTGAGTATTAGATGTCTTTCCTACTTTTCACTAAAACACATGTATGTGTGTGTGCATGCGTGTGCCCACCTCCCCACCTCCTGTCTTCAGCTACCACTTTTGTTACAAAGCAAGTAAAAAAGAGTTTTGTGAAGCAACTCATTCACAGTAGGACCCAGTAATTATGATGAAAGTACAGCAGCATAAGGCAGATAAAATGGTGTTAAGATATTTCTTTCTGTTATAAGTCTTAGGTCTCTCTATGCAGCAGCACTTTACTCACCTACCTGCATATCAGTGTTGAACAAATTGCTTTGTTCATACTTACAGCTCTGCAGACCCAGCTTATAGTCTTAGTTACTCACACCACTTACAAGCTGCATGAAGCCTCTCAAGGAGGAAAAGCAAACTATTATTTTTTAGCTACTTACAAAGTAAACACGTTGAAGTACTAGTTATCTTAAAACATGGAAAAGGTTTTCTTTCTGTTGAGAAAAAATTAGTCACACTGCTTTTTATACCAGCGCATTCTGCTACCCTTTTGCAGTGCACCTCTGTGAGGGAAAAGAAGGCTAGTCTGAGTCATGAATCTTCCAGGAAAACTTGCAGGAAAAGCTAGTTTCCTTAGGAGCAAATATCCTGCCACCTTAAAATACATGGTACAGTACAAAAGCCAAGATCAAAAGCTTTGGGTATCTTTTCTAGAAAATTATTGCTACAGGAGACACAGTCAAACTTATGTCATCTATTTAGTTTCCATATATGTCTGAAAAATTAAGCTTCATCCTCATCTCTCTGAAAGTACCATCTCCTTCTTTTCTCCCGTTTCAGTCCAGCTTCTGTCTCTGGTCTGTGAGCACTCCACACTGACAGAAATAAAATGCTGGTATTTCCAGGGTGAGGTAAGAAAATGATTTAGCCTTCTGAAAGAGTAGATTTCAAATGAACCAGACACACCCAGGTATTAATAAGTTATTTTCTGATTGTGGGAAAGAATAAGGATCAAATATGTTTAACCTAAAAACGATACTGAATGGTAATGATCTAATATATTTTTAACAGATTCTTCCTTTCTTTAAGAAATTTAATTTAATACATCTGTATATTCATGCACTGGTATATAAAAAGCTCTTTGCCTTCTCCCTTCTAAAAACATTTGAATAACTGTGAAAAAAGTAGTTCTTACTAAAGATGGCAGCTCTGCTATATTACTTGATGTAATGGTAAGGAACAAAGACATTTAACAGTCTCTATTTTCAAGTAATGATCAGCATAATATGCTGGACACACAAAGCATGTAACAGAGGAAGATCCTCTTTAGTCACTGACTTCGTATCAGCTGTTGTCAAGTGCATAGCTGGTAGCAGGTAAGAAAATGAAGCTGGAGTGCTAAGTCCACCTCTTGGTCATTGCCATGTAAACTTACTGCTCTGCAGTAGACTTTTGGGGAGTTATCTCAGATATATGCTGGTGTAAGAGAAGGACAACTGGAGTGCTGCTCATGTAGCTCCAGTGCTCACACACTGGAAGAGCAGCAATGAGAATATATAGATGCAGAACACAGGCAAAGATTTGATACTCTTTTTTGTAGGTTTGACTTTATAGCCTTATCGGGAAATAAGATTTCTCTACAGTGTCTTACTGCCTCAAGCAAAATCCAAAAGGCTTTCTCTCCTATACTGATCTTATATAATGGCATGAGTAAAATATCAGTTGCAGTGAAATTGACAGGAGCTTCACCTGTGTGTCTGAGCCTGTTTTAATGAAAGCAGTGGTAGAACTCCTGTTGATTTTCTGAAGAAGACTGAAGCATTAAGAATACTGGTAGCTCTTTAGTAAGAGCTGCCTACCAGATCTAAATCACGAGGATGCCTACTATTGCCTCAGAAAGCAGGATGGCAAATCCTACAGTCTGGCTATCATCTCCATTATGCACTTTGGTAAAACATGCAGCCTGAGTACCTCTCTGGATAATTCTTCCCTGGTGCAGAAAAAGGTTTAAAATCTGGCCACAAATAAAGTCTTCATGAGTTGACTTGAAGTCAGTAAATTCAACATAGAATTGAAAGGAAAGGAATGAAGTGTTTAAAACAGTAATGTTCTGATTTCACCTCCATCCAAAAGATCTGAAGTTATAATCAGTTTATTGTAATCAGGCCTAAATATATCAAACAAATGAACTGATGTGATCAGAGCAACTGACTTCTCCCAAGAGCCACCTGCTATTATCAGAATGTGTCTAAATATAAGTGAGAAAAAAGGACAATATTTTGAAAAGAAGCCTTTATTGTTCATACAAAGCTGAATCTGTCACATATCATGAGGCATCAATAACAAGTTAAGTATGACTTTGCTTAAATCAAACAATATTGCTTAATGAAAGTATCCAAAACATTCATTTTTTTGTTCGTTTCTAGGTGGAATGTGTGTTTTGATATCAACTCATCTCTTTTGAACTTCTAGCTTAGCCAGCATGCTACGTGAATAACTTCCTTGCCAGGTAAATCCACCACAGGTACTAAAATCAAAGCTGGGGTCTTCTTGACCAAATATTTTTCCAGGTATTCTTGCAGTCCTAAAATAGAAACAAAACAATTAATGAATTCTCTTTGTGTCATTTTTGATTGTGTCCTATTTCTTAAAAATGATTTCTAAATACATTTTTGAAAATTATTGTGGAGAAGCAACTAACAAAAGGAAGTGAAATGCAGCTCCTGGGTTTTCACTTTATATAGAAGAAAGAATCACCATCTCCCACCTCCTTGTCAACTAATTTGAGATTAATTTTACACGTTGCCTAAGGCCATAATTCAGTGAAACAGTCAAAAGCATGTTTCTCAACCTTGAGTGAGTGAGAGGTCTGTTGATTACAGATATAGCAAGCTGAAACTAAATGCAGGTCGTAAAAATAACGTAAGGCCAGTTGAAACTCAGTTCTTTGTAATTTTTGATATTTGGATGATCGGGATGTAGTTGTCTCTAAATGAAATCCTGCTCTCAAGTCCCACTGTGGTGTATCAATCTACTAGAAGTTAAAGTGGGCCATTTTTAAAAACACTATGAACATAATTTTAATTTGAAGTAAATGTGAGCGTGCTGCACTGAAGATATAATGGAGGAAATCCAGGGATGGCAACATATATGACTGCATATCTAGGATTATAGAGAGAATCAAACTGATAAAAATATAGAAGCTAGCTATAAAGAGCTGTAAAGGGACTGGTATGTGACAGAAGTCTGTAAATTGAACATCCATTACGGGAACAGAATTGGTAATAGAGAAGATATAATTAGGACAATATGAGCAAAAACTAAAGAATGAAGAATTTAAATTCAGCATCAAGATATTTCTGGTCGCATTGCAGCCTCAGTGGAGATGCTAGAAATCCATCCACACAGAGCCCTTAAAGAAGTCTACTGAAACCCCTCCAAATGACCCTGCAAAAGACAGTTTCCTAACGGTAAGGGATGGCCCACATGGATTTTGGTTTCAATAAGTTATTTCTGTCTGCAGCTTCTGTGGTTATGGCAGTTCTTTATAACACTAAGCAATCTTGGCTAGAGAGGGTGTAAAGAGGGCAGAACTTGAAGACTGTCAAAGCTTTTTTTTTTTTTTTTGGCGTCACTGCCTGTGAAACTGTGAATAGGCCGTTCAAAGTGTTACCTCATCTAGGGTAAAACAGGAATTTTGTTATTGTATTCACTGAAGCCAAAACTGTTCTCTCTTGTTACCTAGCACCAGTAGCATAAATTAATGTAATAATGCTACCGACGGAATATTGCAAAGACAGTATCAGTCTTCTGAAATGCTGATGTTTTTTTTGTATTAACATCATTGACATTAGAGATGAAAAGAGACAAGGGTGAGCTAAAGGTCAACAGTCACCTCAAAGGTCAAAGGACTTCATGTTGTGTGTAAAAAAGGACTCAGTCTTTGTATCACAGATATCCATCAGTGACCCAATAATTAAGAACCAGCTAACGGTTTCATTCTGAACTTTGATTTCAGAAAACTTTATAGCTGTGCTGTCTCAGAAAGCACTAAGTGGAAGTGCGTAAAGGCAAGTCACCTTAAAAATCACAAATTCCACCCTATTAAAACTACATTTGCTTTTTTTCTCAATTAAAATTGTGAAAATATAATTTTAGTCTTTTTCACAGGCTTAAAAACTGTGAAACAGTGCTAAAAACTACCATAACAAAACCAGGTCTTACTTTCAAAGGGAAAATTTGAAAGTGAGGCTATCTAGAAATATAACTCCATTCTTTTGTTTTTATCAGGTGGTCAAAATAGCCATAAAAATTTACATTTGAACATGCCCTAGTGGACTTGACAACCAGAAAGAGCCACTCTTCCTAAAGACCACCACCTTTTCTACTGCAAATGCAAAATACTGCAGGAAAGCTTACATGTATAATTGCAATGTGCATGAGAATCTGGGACATATGCCTCTGAATGTGGTATTATACTTATAAATCAAATAATTTGATATGAAACCATTCTACCTGAGATATGCATCTTTATACATTGAAAAATTGTGGATAAAGTCTGCTTACACAAATTTTCCCTGAAAAGAGGAGACTGGGTCTTCTAAAACAGTAAAACTGTACTCTAAGGTCTCACAGAAGACAATGTACAATTAGTAAATCTGTGTCAGACTATGTAGTCATAGCTGACACAATGCAAAAATTGACAGATATATATTTTACTTGCTATAAATAAGATACTCTAAATCCTCCAATACTAATTGCATATTTTTAATTACGTGGCACTAATAAAGACACAATCTTTATCTTTTTTCACTCCTGCAAATTATGCTTTTGGATAAATAAGAGCATCAGTCAAGACTATGATTGTCTTCTGGAGCATTTAACTCTTTGTTCAAATACATCTAAGATTTAAAAAAATTCTTTCCTTTATATCACTTCCAGAAATGTTTGCTCAGTTGCATGCCATACTTCTAAAAAATGATCTTAAAAAATGAAAATAAGTGAAGGACAGAGGATTACAGTGAGTGTGGTTACTGGAGCTTTAACAGGAGCTATATATAACTGGTATCAGTCTTAAGGTTATTTAATCTGCCTTGATACAGAATATTAATTAAAGTACAAAGAAAGCCAGCTGATAAGCAAGCAGTAAACAAGTGGTGTGTACTGTGCATGTTTTCATTTCCTGTGACAGTCTGCATTATTTACTATTACTGCATGAAATTTGCTGAAAGCAGGTGAGCTTCATTCTGTAAGATGGAGCCCTGCTACTCCCAACTGATCAGCAGAAGTTCAGGGCACAGGTTCCATACAGTTTTTTTCTGCACTGCTATGCATTCTTCTATTGACCAGGGTACAACTGAGGGATATGGACATAACCCAAACTTAAAATGAACAAAAAAAATTCTAAGTCTTTCCCTCTCTCACCAAACATTTTGGCATTATAATCTATTTCTGCTATTCCTCTGTAAGGCCAGGACACTGAGAGTTTGATGAACTCTCACGCTGACTTAGCAGCCTTTCCATACAACATGGCACAATCTAACCCCGTAAACTATTGTTTTGAAAGGTGCTTTTCACACCAAGTAGATAAAACAATGTCCTGGGAGCCCCTAAAAGGGTCATTCCAAATGACTGGGAAGACAGTTTTTACATCTG